CCAAACAGATGCCTCCATCAGCATATACATTAGGGTGGAACATCTTACTAATAAATCTCACTGTAGGTGGTTTGTTTGGATATTCTTCCGTAAATTCTATTGTAAGTTTAAAAGTACCATCTTCAAATGGAGTATCATGTGGTCTGAAAAAATAATGAAATGTGAATTAGAAATATAATTATTTTTAATAATTACAATTTTAAATTTAAAAAATTTTCTATGAATTGAATGAATATCTATTATTATTTTAAAAAATATTCATATATATTCTTACCCAAATATAACTGCATTCCATATCATAATATTATTGTCTGTAGGTGCTCCTGATACTCCAGTGGGTGGATCTTCTTGTAATCTATTCATAAAAATATTAAATTTTATATTTAACATAACAAAATTCATTAATATAAATATTAATTACATAATTAATAATAATAATTAAAAAAATATTAATATTTATTATATATAACATATCAAAATAAATAAATAAATTTAAATATAATTACTTTATTATTTAAAGTATATAACATACAAAAAAAATTTTTGTTAAAAAATTTATCTTATAAAGTATTTATTTTATTCAGAATTGCTTAATATAAATTTAACAAAGAGAATAAATTTAGATTTTTAGAGGTCTCAATGTCGCTTCAATGCTTTTATATATAAAATAATTATATATAAAACAATATCTTTTTATATTTTTTAATAATACTATATATATACTATATACTATATAATGTGTGTGTGTGTGTGTGTGTGTGCGCGTGTGTGTGTATTTATATTCTTTTTCTATTGAAAAATATCCTATTTATAAAAATAAATAAATAAATAATGAAAATTATATGAAAGCTATTAATATTATATTTAAAAATATCATTTATTTTTTTAGATTATTTTATAATTTATAAAATAATCCTTTTATGAATTATATCTAAAAAAACTTTCTACGAATTGAACGAATATTTACGAAAACTAATAAAAAAATGTGACAATATAAACAAAAACATAATTGTTCACAAATGGCATGCTATTTCCTATATATTTTTTAAATAAAAATAAATATAGTTTTCCAAATTATCCATTAATCTTCGATAAATTTGGTTAGGAATATAAATGAAACGTAATAAATGATTATAAACACCTAATAATAACTTTGTAAGATGGGCTACAATGACGTTCGAACGTTCTGTAACCTGATGAGTGTGTGAAAAAAAATTTTCAATGATTCAGAATGTACAAAAAGGTTACAGGCAGCATAATATAAATTTCAATTACAATGGCGATGGATGACACACGAAATAATGACATAGAAATCTTGAAAATCACTATACCTTTTAAAGTCTCTCATTAATCTCCTTCTTGCGGGGGTAGACATCCCTCACAAATGGGCTCGTCGCTCCCAAATCGTTAATACGAATAAATTCCAGAACGATGCTGTCCACAGCTCACGTTAATGCTGTTTCTCAATAAAAGAAACCACAGTCCCGCACGACGGTTACTTCGACAACCTCGTCACATATACAAGAACGCCTGTTGTTTCTGCTGCGTATGTCTTTACCTTTTGTCAGTCCGAAGGCCACCCTATCGCACAATACCGTTATAGGTTGTTCAAAATTTGTTCTACCTAACAGGTTTCCGATTGGCACTCGATTGTGTATTGATATTTTAACACCTTGAGTTTCCACTGTCGATCGTGGAAAAGGCCACCAACATAAAACCTACGTAATGATCACCCTGAGAAATTCGTTCACCGGACTGCCAAACCACGGACAGCTGGATAGATATACGGAGGGAATGAGGAATGAACTGTTTTGCGCATGACGTCACAAACTAAAATCGGACATCCCAACCAATAGTTTTTATTACTATATTCGTTGTTCGATTTAGATTTATTGTTTTGCTTTTAAATAAGCACGTTTTGTAAAGAAAACGATTGATTTCGAGAAACAAAGTGCGATATGTTTCTATGTAGCAGTTTTAAAAGTATAGTTATGCTATATCTAAAAAACGTCACACAATACAAATTATAACCAATCCGGAGCCCTCACTAATCTAAATGTAGTTTTCATTACAAGATTTTTTTTTTTCGCTAAATACTAATACTAATTTTCATGAATTATAGATTGATACAATTACGTTCAAAATGTATATTTATAAATGCATTTTTATTTTATACAATATATTTAATTCAAGAAAAAATAATAAAATATCACTTCTATTTATTTCTAACATATAGTTATTAAATTTTTTTTTCATGTAATAAATTTTAATATTTGAATATTTGACTTAATGTTAAAATTATATTTCTAGGGATTTTGTTTTTTTAAGACAAAAGAAATGCTATTGGTTATAATGATTATTGAGCGCAAAGTATAATCTAGAAATTATAAATTAGAATTTTTATAACATTTATTATGTATTAAAATAAATACATAAATTGCTATTTTTAATGATTATAGATTGTAATATTATTATTCTTATATATGTTAAAATAGATTATATAAATAAAATTTAATTTTTTTACGTAATATTTACTTGTACATAATCAAAAATCGATAAGAGATGTAGAATACTGTTAAAAGCGCACGCGTGAACAGATGCTGATACCTGTCAGCTGTCCAGTGAATACAATTGCACATAAATTGAGAATTAAAATATTCTTTATCCTATTACGAAGTCTTCCAATGAAGAAATATAATAATTTTAATCAAACTTAATGGCTTGTGATAATCGAACAAAAGTGTACTTGGGATACGAAGATGAATACGTCACTGATAAACACCGACCATATATTAATTTTATGACAAATAAGATTGGTGGATTTCCAGTAAGCTTCTTCTTTTTTAAAATTAAATTTCAATTATTTATATTTAAACAATGTATTTAAAAAATTTTAATTAAACAAAATATTTAAAAAATTTAATTAAATTTAAAAAATTTTTAAGTTACATTAAATTTTTTTTATATGTAAACTATTTCTATATTAAATATTATATAATTATAATATATAATTTAAATAAATAATTTAACATTAATTATTTTTAAATTAATTCTT